CAATAATGATACCATTAAGGTGATTTTAAGCAGTTTTAAGAAAATATATGCAGTACTTAACCAGTAATGTTTATTTTTGCAAATGGAGCCGTATTTTTTTATATATATTTTTTGTGTCAATTTTACTATCGTTCATATTCATGTTTATGTTTTTATTTCCTGTAATAATCTTTTTTATTCATGTTCTTATTATTGTTCCTGTGATTGGGTGCAAACCTGTTTGAATGAAGATTATTATTATTAAAATGTTTTTTTTGCTGGAAACGTACCGTGGTTCAAGAAAGTATTGACACTCGGGGCACTTCAGCTGACAGCCAAAAAATAGTTAGGTTTTAAAATCCGTTCATATTGGGCGTGTGTGTTCGAACACTATATTGGGATATGAAACATATCGTTTTCTATAGTAAATTTTCTTAAAGACTCCAAATTTGAAATTAAAAAAAAAACTCAAGGTGCTAAACCGGAAGTAAACATTTCAAAGAAAAATTTTGATAACTTACAAATTATACCCTAAAGTGTGTTTAACACGTTGACTGCCACGAAATTTTCATAAATCTGGCCTAAAATGACAATTTGATTTAATCAGATTATATTATTCTATTTCTTGGATTTGAATTAGTAGATTTTATAATTATTATTTTCTGTTCGTTTTTTAATAAATTTTCTGTTCATGCAAGCCAGCATTGATTTATTTGTTCTTTTCCCAGAAGCCATTTATCGATATTAGCACTGATATATAGCAGCTGCATATAAACGGCAAGTATACAGAGGACGATATAACTCGCAGTTGACGACTTGGAAAAGAACGCAATCTGCAAGCTATCTCGTAATTGGCAGTCGACGTGTTAACATACATACATCAGAAGTTTTGAAATTAATTAATTAAGGAGGTTCGTATTTTTATGTACATACATGTTGCCCAGGGTATGACGTTAGGGGCTTGTTTATGTCGATAAGTTTGCGTGATATTGCATTAATAGGCTAGAGTATTTTTACCTCTAATAATTGTTTCAAATACATTTTAACATAAAATTTATTTTTATACGGTTTTTGCTAAATGCAGTTTTCAACCTTGCTTGGAAGGTTAACAAGTGTTAACTTTTGCTTTTCGCTGCCCGTTCATTGGTTTGAAAACCATGGACGTTTGATCTATTTCGGGGGTAAAAGTAACTTCAAACGTCTCTAACTTAGAGCCAAGAGTTCCAAGGAAACCTTTGAAATGAGAAATGGAGAATCACATATCTACCTTCCTTTTTTAGTACGATGAACCAGGCTCCAATTCCCGATGAGTTCCCGACTGAAATGATGGCCCCAGTGCAGGCTCCACATCCAGTTTTTGCACCAGGTCCAACTCTATTTCCAGCACCTTATCCTTACCCGATACAGAGTGTTGACCAAGACATTCCCATGATGCAAATACGGCCGCCCTTTTATGATGCGTAAGATTTTGAAGTAACTTAATTTCACAGTGGATTTTTAGATCGGTTAAACTTCCGGAAATTTTTTTCGCGGATAAGTACTCCTGATGAATTTATCAAACATATACTAAGTGACATATAAATCCGAACACCCAGTTTAAATGGTTTTATTTTAATAAAAGTTGGTGAATGTATTTATCTTACTGTAAATAACAAGTGAAAAAATTTTCAGCCTTATCAGTTGGACATTCCGGTTTTTATACTGCTTTTTTTAATTCACTAACGCTCTAAAAATGAATATTTCAGCCGCAGTAAAGAATCAACGTTGGCGGATTTTGGTTCTTGACATCCTTTACGATCGGTTACGATGCCTAGAGTACGGAGACCTGTACGATTTCGTCAACTTAGTGAGTTTGATAGAGGCCGTGTAGTGGGACTTCGGGACCAGGTCCATTGCAAATGAATGGTTTGCAAAACACAGAAGACCTATTGGCATGCGAAGTGTTTACCGACGAATGAGAAGTTTTGGCTTGTCTTTATACCGGCCACACTGGGTCCTCCCTTTAACTCGAGAACACCGACGTAATCGCCTTGAGTGGTGCAGACAGCGGTCACTTTGGGATCAGGAATGGAACAGTATTGTCTTTAGTGATGAGTCTCGATTTTGTTTAGGCATGCACGATGGTCGTGTCAGGGTTAGAAGGCGATGTGGTGAAAGGAGAAATCCACAGTTTTTTTGTTGAAAGACATGGTCATCACACTGTTGGAGTTATGGCTTGGGGTGCTATAGCTTATAGTTTCAGGTCACCTTTAATCTTCATCAGAGGTAACATGAACGCGCAGCGTTATATCCATGAAGTTCTAGAACCCCATCTTTTACCCTATCTTGACACCCTGGCAGATCCAACTTTCCAACAAGATAATGCCGGACCACATGCTGCAAGAGTCACAATAGACTTCTTTCAACATAATGATGTCACATTGTTACCATGGCCACCAAGATCTCCCGACTTATCCCCAATTGAGCACGTGTGGGATATGATGGGTAGGAGATTGCTCAATTTGCAACGTCCTCCTCAGACTCTAGAAGCACTTCGAGAGGGGTTGGTGGTTGCCTGGAGTGAGGTACCACAGGAGGACATTGACCACCTGATCAGAAGCATGCCTAGGCGCGTTGGAGAATGCGTAGCACATCAGGGTGCATCCACACATTATTAAAGGTCAAAGGGCTTTAAAGCAGTGCAATCATTTTGAAATTTTTATCATTTACTTATTATGCTTCATTAAGTACTTACACAAAATTTCATTAAAATAAAACCATTTAAACTGGGTGTTCGGATTTATATGTCACTTAGTATAGTTACACCAGGAGAAAGATTGGATGTGAATATCCGTATTCTATTGATATGCCAAGAAGATGATCTGATGTACGTTATTTACGTATGTTCAATCAAAATTAAGCTCTTATTTGTCTATTTATTGGCATAGAAATTTTGCATTAATAAACTCCATAAGGAGATACATAGTAAAAAACCTGTGTTCAGGAGCCATTAAAAATATCATAACCCCTTCTAAAATTAATATAAACATAATAAAAAAAAATATATA